TCTCTATAACATTGCAATTCTACACATCTTTTAACAATAGCTATGCTTCAGAACTTTTTCCATTTTAAGTTCAAGCCATGGCTGTCAGGATAGGGCCACTGGACTGAATACAATTTATTGAACTGAATACAAATTTGTTCACCTCAAATTCGGCGAGGTTCTTGATGCTCGTTCTTCCAAGACTCAACTATAGTAATCCCTCGTTGTGCTGCATGTGAGTAAAGGCAGTGCTGAAACCAATCGAGATGATCTTCATCTTTGGCATCAAAGGGTGGGGCCTGCACCTTATTGTCTTCCATTGAACACAAAATGTTGTAGGCTCGCGCATCTTGAAAGCATTGCTGCTTGACATAAGTGAGCCATAAACAGGGTGGGACATTGGAGGATGTCAAAACATTTTGCATTTGCTGGAGGAATCGGTCCAGTGGCTCAGCTCCCGTAAACTTTGGCAGTTGTAAATTTGGTAGCTTAGAGGTATTTGGGTGTCTTGCGGTGTGGGTGGAGAGTTGTGCAACAGTGGCAGAAAGCTCTTGAAGCTGTTGCGCTGTAGACTCCGAGGCATGTTTCTGGGCTTGTTGTTGGCTTTTAACAACTTCAGCAAGCCCATGTATGAGGCCTAACGTCTCTTCGTGATAGGTCGTAACAGTAGAGCATTGAAACGAGAACACCACTTTCTTCTGTATTCAAACCAAATTCAATCTCCTCTTATTTCCAATCTCTCGATTAATATTCTACTATTAATTATAATTGACAGGGACGGATCCAGGGAAAAGTATGACTGGTGCTCCAGCAAGGAGAAGGGCGTGGTGGGGGCAGGGTTATGGCAGGGCCATCAAAAAACTTTGATGCCACGCCCTGTTCTCACCAGAAAATGCTTTTCTATATACTGCTATTCACCCACACTTTGAGAAACTTTGGTAAAATATTCTTAAATTCTAACTTAGGATGGCCTGCAGGTTTCCTGGGTTGTTTTTTGTCTCATCATAATATTTTGAATCATCCTGATGACTGCGGAGGGACATATTATTTCTACCGCATAAAAGGACCCCTTCAACAATTGGTATCAGCTTTTGTCTATTGATTTGTACCTGCTTTGAGACACTAGTGTCATATTGCACCTTAATTGATTGGCTTGTATTGTCCATAACCGCTCGAAATTGGTTTGCCTGTAAAACAGCAGTTGCATGAACTTGAGATCTGGTGCAGTGGTAATTGAATCTCTCTAATGCTGTTGCCCAATTGGTTAAAGGGGAGCGAAACAAATGAAAAAACTTTGAAGTATTGTGACTGTATTCTCCCCTGAAGAAGACACAATCAACACAGAACGCACCATCAAGAGCTTTTGAATAGGCTAACCATGGGAATCCGGAGAGCCAGCTGTACTGAAACTTCCGACGAGAAGAACTCATAGGAAAGTGATAACTTGGCTCTGGTTTCCAGATATTACAAAGCATAGTAAGTTTTTCTGCATCTGACAGAGATGACAGTGTTTCCATAATCATTCCAATGTCGTTTTTTGGGCAAGCATTTGCGAGAGAGGTGACAGATGGTGTCGCTGTTTCTGTGTCACTGGAAGAGACAGTTGTAGCTGGAAATGTCACACTGCTGCTATCAAGCTTTGCAGGTGTAAGAGGTGTGATACCTGATTGCATTTCACAACCTTTATCAAGAAAATCATTACCTCTTGACTTTTTGTAAACAAAATTGCTAATGGAAAGTTGTCTTTTTTTCCTATTATGTTCTGAGGTAGAGTCTGCGCTATAGGAATGAAGCCCTGAAGAATCTGAATCCAAAGATATTGATGGCAAGGAGATGCTTTTGAAGCAAGAGGCACAGTTTTACCCCTTCCTTTCATATTGTGGGAGGCTCTGGACTCTCTCTGAAGCATATCAAAATTAAGCAATGCAACATAGTGATCTTTCCTCAGAGGAATTTTGCCTCTATGCAAAAAATCTATCGGAACCATGGCACAGCGAAATATGTGAATAGGAGATACATTTTCAATCAAACAAGCTTGTCTAGGATCAATATCTGAATTGGATAATAGGCTTCAATGGGTTGCTGAATGGCCGAAGCCAAAGCTAATAAGCTTTGAAAAGAAGCAGGTTTGTTTGTTCTTGCAGCAACTGATGCCTCAGCAAGAACAGCAGCAACTCTCTGTCCCTTTTTATAAGACTCTACAGCCTCAAAAGACAAAGATGCGAGAAATGCATGATCTTCCATCAAGAATGCACCTTCTTCATGGGCAGAGAGGATGAGCTGATTAGTAATCTGCATTGAGGTATATTTCAATACATGTTAGGGACTGCAGAGTTGCAGATAAAGTTTCATCGCCAATTAAAGCTAATGGGCATGAATTGAATAAACAGTTCCCATCACCAGTTCTCCTGAAAAATGTTAAAATAGGTATAAGAAAATTGTGAATAATATATTTTATATATGATGAGATTTAAATGGAGATGTCAAGGAGGATCCTGAACGATAGCAAGCAAAGAGTTTTTGTAAAACCCAAATTGTGTTTTGGGAAAACAGTAATTGAATTACCATGAATAATAGTGCTTCTAATTTTTCAAAGACATAAATGTTTTATATGCACAAAATATAAGCATATATGCACTCTTATTGACTGCTAATCATCTACTACTCTTTCTTGCTGTTTGGACAGCATACATAGTTGCAGAGAGTCTATCAATACATCTTCCTTAGCTAAATGCCCTCTAATGACATCACATAGTTGTTTATCAATTTTGTGTAAATTCAGGGAATAAATATTTCTGATATGGCTTGAAAACACAAACATTGAATGGTCTGGATACCTCCTACATCTCTTGTTGGCTAGGTGATTTTATCTTTCTTTAGAAGGATATTACCATATTTATTTGATGATCTATATTTATGCACATAAAACAGCTACTGCTCAACTAATTTTGGCAACACAATTAAATGCTTTTCTCATATTCAAATCTATTGTTTACTTGTCTGTCATTTAGTGCTCAGTATAGGCAAAACAGAACAAGCATTTTGTCATAATTTTTGTTTCTGTATTAACAGTACTTGCAGGGCCTGTACAAAAAGGGGGAAAGTGTTCCATGCACCCATTGTTTTGAAGTAGAATTTACCAAAAGTCTAATGTTGAGATCCCTGTACATTTCAATAAATACATTCAAGTAGAACAGCTTTATCAAAATGAAGGTTTTAAAGGGAATAACAGGACAATTTTTTAAAATTTGCTGCTTTCCTTTCTATTGACTATGGGTAGCCTAAAATATCAGTCAGAATTTTAACTGATCAATGTTTCAATTGCCTAGAATCAAGGAATTTACTTATATAATGATGCATAGGATAGGCTACTGCTCATAGCCTAAAAATCAAGACAATATTTCCATACCGGATAGGCCATAATTTGTGAGCTCGTTCCTTTTGGCTCAGTGGAAACTGCAGCTCTGCGAAATCACACCTTGTCAACACAGGCCACTGCTTCGAAGCATTTTCTTTTCTTAAATGAAAATCTCGCTGCAGGGCTACCCGAATTTCTTCCACCCTGTCCCTTAAGTTTTCCTGCCGAACAGTAAAAAGCTTTTCCAATCTTGCCGCCATTAAGTTTTGAATTATTGAGATTGAGATATAAGTATTGAGATATAAATCATACGAATTATGATACCCTAGTGATCAATCAACTCCGAGCTACCTTTGCTCATAGGGATAGGGATTCTTACTTGATCTTGCGATTGCAAAGCAGCAGCAAATCACAATGGTGCTTGCATAAGTGTGATAAGGTAGATTACGAGCTGCAATTGGCCAGATAAGAAACACTTTAAATCCCACTAGTGCTCCCGCCAAATTGAGCTCCAGTGGTCTAAGCATCTATTGGCTGGAAAGAAATTAAATCAAATCACACCAGTGCTGAAGAGAAGCGCAGGGTGAAATCGTGATTCTGAGCACACAGCTGTTAGAAACAATCATTACCATGTTAATACGATATCTTGTCGTCATCGAATCATCTAATTATGGGAGCCGGTACGTAGCGCTGGAGCTCACCAAAAACAAAAGATAACTGGCATTCGATCCCCGTGTTATGAACATTTTTCACAAGTCTGGATCCGCCCCTGATTGACATATCACATGATTGTAGTTTACAATATGATTGGTCATGTTACACTGCCACTATCCAACTAATTAAAATCTGCTGGAAAGACTCAGAACTTACAACATGACGGAAGAAAATATAAACCGGGCTGAAACCAATCCATTGGGTCATCATCTAAAGGTTCATGGCTGCATTTTGGAAAAAGTTCTAAGTGCCCCTCATGGATATTACAGATGTGATTAACCAGGGAGTCCCATTTAGCAAGCATTAAATCCCCATCACCACCAGACCTAGCTGCACACCAATACATATGGTTGACTATACTCTTGATCCACTTGCCAAGAAGAGAACAACGAGGCCTCTTAGCCAAACCTCTTGGAAAGACCTGTAGTGAAAAATAACTGTATTAGGTACAAGATTGCAAAATTTAATGTTAGTGCTGCTACTACAGGTTCAAAAGAGACAGACTCAAACGAAGAAATATATAATCATGTTTCAATTTTTATAAAAATACCTTTAGCAACATGCCATACATCTAAATAGCGATTGACACTGTGACAGTTGTCCTTCAGCCACTTTTGGATTGACTTGTGCCCATCAGTCACTATTGCAGAGATGCCTAGTTCACTTCCTTTCCTGCGTGCAATGATTCTTGTAAGTTCTTCAAGCTCCATGTGATAGCTACTAGCAACCTCATTTGACTAAAAATATAAAAATTACATTAGTGCATAGTCCTGAAAAGTCACCTTCATTTTCAGCAACAGAAACATTTATGTGGGTGTTAAAGCCTAGCGCACACAGCAGATTTTTGTCGCAAAAGACGAAGATTTTTGTCTCAAAAGACGAAAATCTGTAGTGTGCGGGGCAAAATCGCAAAGATTTTTGTCTTTTACGATTATCTTTGAGATCAAAAATGTTTGATATTTGTCTTTGTCTTTTACGACGAAAGACAAAAATCGTGCAATGTGCGGGGTCGAAAGACAAGTTTTTAATTTTTAAACCAATAAAACTTGGATTATATGGTCACGTGAATTCTGTGGAGCCTTTCTTTCCCGCCAAAAGAAAAAAGATCGAGAACGCCATGGAGAATACAGAAGACGAAGTCGGTATATGGACAGCAAGCAAAGAGGAGCAGCTTGTCGATCTGTGGCAAGAAAAGGCTTGTCTGTATATGGTTACGTCTCCAGAATATTCAGACAGAAACAAGAAGCTAGCAGCCCTGAACGAAATTGCAACTAAACTTTCTTCAAACGGTGAGTGAATAATTTTGACTAGCTAGCTAGGCTAGTCCTCTTTTCTTAGGCCTACTCAATTTGAAGTGAAACATTGCTGTACGAATTCATGTTTTATTCATTCTAGTGAATCAAGTAAAAAAAAGAATCGCATCTCTGCGCACGCAATATGCACGCTCCCGCAGAATCCCAAGCAGTGGAAGTGCACGACCAAAAAAGATGAAGAAGACTCAATGGATAGAAGACCGCCTTCAATTTTTAAGCCCATATGTATCCAACAGAGTGTCTATTTCTAATTTGCAGGTACAATACAACACTAGCTAGTTGAGTTCATTATTTTTTGTTGCAACCATACTATCTTGCCATGATACTGATCCAGATGTTGAGCAAAAATATTGTTTCAAAAGCTCACGCTGACCCTTAGCACTTAATGAACAGTTTCTGTTTTTTGTCTTCTGTAACTCAGTTAGAGATTTGTCTAATCTCCAGCTGCCTTGAAAAAGCTCATGGTTGTCTCTTTCACTGTCACATGCATTTTTATATGAAGGCTGCTCATCAATCAGCATGTTGTGCAGACAACAAATTGCCAGCACAATTTGCTTAGCCTTTTCAGGCTCCAACATAATCTTTGTCAGCATCACCCTGAACCTATTAGCCATGATACCAAAAGCGTTTTCGACAACCCGTCGTGCTCTAGAAAGCCTGTAGTTGAAAATGTGCTGTTCATGTAACAGTTGTCTAAATGGGAATGGTTTCATGATATCATTTCTCAAGGGAAATGCATCATCACCAATGATATGATAATGACATTTGATGCATGTTTCCCCAAATTGCTCAGCTTCTGGAAAGGCAATTGATTTGTCTTTCATCTGTTGATTTAGAGGCGATGTTTCAAAAAGTCCAGCATCACCATTTCTTCCACTTGCACCAACATCAACAAATATCAACTTGTAGTCATAACTTGCCAATGCTAGAAGGACTATGCTGAAATATCCCTTATAGTTGAAGTACTCTGATCCAGACATTTTTGGTTGTTTGATTGCAATGTGTTTGCCATCTAATGCACCAACACAAAAAGGATAGTCCCATAAATTGTAGAAACCATCACTGATTGTTTTCCATTGATGAGATGTGCTTGGAATCTAAAATACAAAAATATTAAATTTTAGTCTTCAACTGAAAGTTTATCTGAGCCACAGCTTAACACTGGTGACAGTGACTGTGATGGAGACTTGGACGACAATGATGCCCCTGCTGCAGAGACACCAGTTTCAACAAGCAGGCCACTGGCTGCTGTTAAAAAATCCAAAACTGCAAAGCAGAAAAAGGAAGAGGAAGAACTCTCCATTCTGAAGTCTCTTGCATCATCTTTCTCTGCAGATGAAAATTTAGCTGCAAAAAAGGATGCAAAGCCAAGCCCTTCAGCTGCCTTTGGGGAATACGTTACACATGCTTTGTCTGTGATGGATGAGAAAACAAGACTTGTTGCAATGAACAACATTCAAAATGCTCAGATGGGCTCTTTCTCAAATGAATTCAACAACCCATATCATGCTGGTCAACATGCTAGAATGCAGTCTTTCAGGCAGTCACTTGACCAGCAAGATATGAGTGAAGGGCCATCGTACGGACAATTCTAATCTTTAAAATTCATACAGTATATTGCTTTCACTGCACTCTTCAATGTTATGTGAGTTGGTTTTAATTAGCACATTAAATATTGTATTGAAAACCAAAAAGTAGAAAACAAAAAATGTTATGTACCTTAAGATATCTATCCTTAAGATTCTGATAAATTGCATCACAAGTTTCTGTCACTATTGATGAAATTGTTCTTTCTCCAAGTCTATATGAAAATCCCAGGCTGTGAAATGACTCTCCTGTAAAGATATGCAACATCTTATTATACCAATCAATATCTAAAATGATATGATTACCTCAATTTCTCCATATAAGATTATCAGATTTATGATTGCATTCATTTTGATGATACTCAATTCAAAATGCTCATTATGATTGGCATTAAAGGTGAAATGGTTTGTGAAAGATATCAATTAGTAAGAAGTATTGTCATTATTGTTATTAAGTATTGCTACGAACTCTGTAGAAGAAACATTTAGAATATTTAAAGTTATTTTTATTATTCACAAATATATTTTTACTTTTCTCATTTGTATCCTATATTTTCTCTTTGAATCAAGCTGGCAGACTATTGTGAAATCTCACCTGTTGCTA